AAAGGCCTTCAAAGGACTGACTGGATATAACAGAGGTAGATTTACTAGATAAATGGACTTTAAAATAACTATATTAAACATGCTCAATGAGCTAAACGAAAGACAATAAAGAATTCAAGGAAATCAGAAAAATGTTGCATGAATAATGAGACTATCAATAGAGAGAAGGAAAGTATAATAAAGAACCAAACAGTAATACTGGAGCTGAAAAGAATAACTACTAAAATAAAAATTTACCAGAGGGGTTCAAGAGCAGATTTGAGATAGCAGAAGAAAGTCAGCTAGCTTGATGACAGGTCAATTAAAATTATCAAGTGTGACTAGTAAAAGGAATAAGACAGAAGGAAAACGAGAAGAGACTAAGAGACGTACAGGACACCATCAAGTGGAACAATAAAATATTATAGGAGTGTCAGAAGAATAGAAAGAAAAAAGGAACAGAAAGGATAGCTGAAGACATAATGGACAAAAACTTCCAAATTTGATGAAAGACATCAATTTACACATCCCCTATGTTCAACAAACTTTACATCAGAAAAATGCAAAGAGATCTACAATGAGACACATTATAATGAAGTGGTTAAAAACCAAATACAAAGACAGAACTCTGATAAAAGCAAGAAAAAAGCAAATCCTCACATAGAAGAGATCCTTATCAGAAAAGACAGAGGTCAATCTACAGTGGTATAACATATTTAAAGTACTGAATGAGAAAAAGAAAGTAAAAAATGCCCACCAAGAATTCTGTATTCAGCAAAACTGTCCTTCAAAAATGATAGTGAAATTAAGACATTTCCAGGTAAACAAAAGCTAAGAGAGTTTATTACCCCTAGTCCTGTCCTAGAAGAAATGTTAAAAGGAGTCCTTAAGGTTGAAATGAAAGGACACTAGACAGCAACTTGAAGCTATATGAAAACAATAAAGATCTCCAGTAAAGGTAACTATCATGGACAAATATGAAAAGTAGTTTTATTGTACAGGTATACGTCACTTAACATCCATAATACATTCTTTGCAATAGGATGGCATGTGATTAGATGTTATGTGAACACTATATCATATATAGGGGAAAAGCACACAGGACAGTTACTTGTCAGGCACCGGAACTACACTGCTACCACTGCACCAAGGGACTGTGCAAAGACTTTGGCTCCACTGCCACTAGTACTGTGTGCCCAGTCTCTGAGAGACCAGTCTCTGAGAGACATTCCCAGCCCCTGTCCACAATGGCATGCACGCACTGTCCAGCCAGTGGGCTGGCTCACCTTGCCACAGGCTCTGTTCCCTTCCTTCCTCCCTATGTACCTTTCTTTAATAAGCTTTCCCTAATAAGCTTTAAATTCTTTCAACCTCACCCACCCTCCTCCGACTCCTCCTCCACTTCCACTTCCTCCTTCAAATGCCCTTCCTGCTCTTCTTGCCACCACCACCATAGCATGGATCCTTAGACAGTTGCCACCATAAAAGGAGCTACGGCCCTGGGCCTTGGTATCATGTGCTAGGCACCCAAGCCAAGTGGGACAGGGGCCTCAGACAGGCCTCTAGCTCTGTGGCTCTGGAGGCATCTGAGCAGTACCTGCCTGAGGCGAGCATGATGGGACATGCAGCCACAAATGGATGGTGGGATCCTCTTCTTGCCACACCAGGGCTGAGGTGGACGTGGGACCCGGACAGCTAGTAAGAGACAGACGAGATCTCCGTTCTTAGCAAAGTACATCTGCTCCACTCTATTCTCCCACTGGGATTTCCAAACTCTATTATAACCTTATGGGACCATGGCACACATTCAATCAGATGCTGCCAAAATGGATATTAAGTGACACTCACAAAGTATCTTCTTTGACCACAACAGACTAAAGCTAGTAAAGTAGTACTTTGATTTGTAACTCTATTTGATACATGCTACATGATTTAAAAGACAAAAGCATGAAAAATGATTATGTACATTATTGGGTATAAAACCAAAAATAACCAAAATCACTGCCAGTGAGTCAATTCCATCTCATAGCAACATCCATTGGGTTTCTGAGGCAGTAAATCTTTACAGAAGTAGATTGCCCAGTCTTACTTCCATGGAGTGGCTGGTGGGTTTGAACCACCAGCCTCCTGGTTAGCAGTCAAATGCCTTAGGCACTATGCCATCAGAGCTCCCAAAGAGTGAAATAGGGATACTGATATAGATGTGCTGAATGATGAGTACACACAAAGAAAGAGGCTCCTTGTGACTACAGGGTGAGAAGCCTCATTTTTGGCATGACAACTATATGACCATATCTTAGCTATATAAAAAACAGAAACAACAACAACAAAAAACAGTTTTCATTAAGTCCACTCTGACCATGATAATTTCATGTTGTCAGAGTAGAACTCTCCTACACAGAGTTTTCAATGGCTGATTTTTCAGAATTACACTATCAAATCTTTCTTCCAAGATTCCTCTAGGTGGACTTGAACTCCAAAGTTTCAGATAACAGCTAGTACACTAATTACTTGCATCAGTCAGGGATTCTATCTTATCTGTACCAACCAAAATCAAACCCATTGCCATTAAGTCAAGATTGACTCATAGCAACCCTATAGGACAGAGTAGAACTGTCTCATAGGGTTTCCAAGGTGGTAAATCTTCACAGAAGCAGCTGCAACATCTTTCTCCTGAGAAGCAGCTGGCAGGTTTGAACAGCTGACCTTTTGGTTAGCAGCTGAGCATTTAGCCACCGTGTCACTAGGGCTCCTTTATCTATAAAAAACTCACTGCCGTCCAGTCGATTTCAACTCATAGTGACCCCTCCTTGGGTTTCCGAGCTGGTTTCTCTATGGTAGCAGAGTGCCCAGTCTTCCTTCTGAGGAGTGGCTGGTGAGTTTGAACCACAAGCCTTCTGGCTAGCAGTCAAATGCCTTAGGCACTATATCACTAGCGTTCCCCCTTTATCTATAGGCATTATTAACATATCAACACTTTGACACTCAGACCACCTGTGTACGAGAAAACATAACAGAAATGTTACAATTCCCTGTTTCGCTATCATAAACCACTAAGAATTGGTTTCAAATATTCCACTTGGAGTTAAGTCTCATTGTTTTAGAATTTCACTATGTATATCTTACTAGGGAGCTCTGGTGGCGTAGTGCCTAAGGCATCTGACTGCTAACCAGAAGGCTGACAGTTCAAACCCACCAGCCATTCCTCGGAAAACTGGGCGATCTACTTCTGCAGCGATACTGTCTGAGGAACCCAAGGAGGAGTCGCTACGAGTTGGATCTAACTCGACACAGTGAGTTGTGTTGTTGTTGTATGTCTTACTAAGAATCTTCAGCTCTTTTGTCAAATTCCCTAAATCTATGCATCATCCCAAGAAAAAGATTTTCTTTAAGTGAGCTCGAACACTGAGAAAAGAATAATCTGGTTTACCTCCTTTTACTCCAGATTGCAAGTTCAACTCTCTTTAAAAACAAAAAATAAACAAACAAAACCGTTCTTTCTGTTATCCTTCTCTACTCTCAAAAGCCTCTCTGTTTCATCTCTTCATTTCCAGTCTGACCCAATACCATTATTCACCACTTTCTGTTCTCAAGGAGTACCTGGCTTAACCTCATCATTGACCCATTATGTTCCTTTTCCTTATTGTTATCCCAAGAGGAAAGGAGAGACCAAGTCTTCCTCAGTTTGCAGAATGGCCCATAATATACCTTTCAGACAGTGTTAAGCTAGAACAAGCTATATCTAAGTTTAGCCAAAATGTAGGATAATAATAGTATCTTGCCTGACTCACAGGGTGGTTGTAACAACTAAATGGCATAATTATGAGTTAATACTCAAGCAGCATGCAATATAATTTGGTGTAGTTTGCTAGAATTGGACAAAAAATTCTGGTCTCAAACCTCCTTTCAGAGAACTATTCTAAATATCCCCAAATACCTGTGACTACTCAGGAGCCCTTTTGTTGTTGTTGTTGTTATGTGCCGTCGAGTCAGCCCTGACTCATAGCAACCCCTCCTTGGGTTTCCGAGGCAGTA